GGTATATCAAACCTTTGTCTCTCATCTACATTGCAGACATCTTTTACCAGTATATCATTTGTTTATTAATTTTGTTTTTATTTCTTCAAGAAGAAAAACAATGTTTACATAGTGAAATCTTTTAGTATTTTCCTTAATTTTTGTGTTTGAAGACTAAGAAAGTAAAATTTATCCTCATCTCATTTTATTCTACTATTTTAATAGCTATATATTTAATATTTGGGTGCTTATTTCAATCTATGAGGATAAGTAGATATCTTACCTTAAGTATTTTTCCAAATTTAAAACTATTTCAACATTATTTTCTAACTAATCTATTTTTTCTCAATATTACAAAAATTCTAGCCTCAAAAGTAAAGTGCCATATTTACTTGGGCTTAGTTATCTAATAACCCTTTACTCTCATTAAATTCCTTATCTTTTTTTCAGCAATATTTTAATTACATGTTAGAAGTTGATAGGGCAGGTTTTGTTTTCTCCTTCTTTACCATAATTTTCCTGATTTATTCTTTCAGAGTAAAGGTTTATTCTTCAAATGAAATTGGGAATTATTTGGTCATGTTCCTGAAAAAGGATGTCATCATGTAGGGAGTGGTGGGTAGGTAGATTCTAACAGATGCATACAAATATTTTGGGAGAAATGACATCTTTACAATATTGAGACATCTCATCCAAAGGACTTGTTAATCCCATTTGCTTTTGTTAAATTTCCCTCATGAAGTCTTATAATTTTATTTATAAGGTTCTTGTACATGCCTTGTTGAACTTAGTCTTGGGTATATTATGCTTCTGTTACTATTTTAACAACACAAACATTGTATTTCCAACTGGTTATTGCTGACTTTTAAAATTAAATTGTATATATTTATATTCTGACCAGGCATATTAGTGAGCTCCTAGTCTATTTAGTATATTTATTGATTTGACGGAATTTCTTAGTTGAGAAAATAATCTTCAAGTAATAATAAACATAACTCTTCATTTCCAATATCTATTTTTTTCTGAATACTTCAAGAACAGTGTTAAACAATAATGGTAATTTCTATCCAGAACCTTGTTAAATAGTATTGTTGATAATAATAAATCATTGTATTGTTCGATTATAGTACTAATGATGGATTTGGTGACTCCCCACTAAGCACGATGCTAATGTAGTTTGTATATCACCTTCAAAAGTGTACTCCTGTTAAAAAAAATAGACGAAGCTACATGGAAAGAGATAGAAAGATATACAAAGATACATGTTAAGCCAGAAATATTAATATAGGTTTGCATGCAGATACATTATCTCAAATTACTTAACTGAACAATCCTTCTTAGTTATTATTCTTATTAGTTATTACTGTATTCACTTCTGTTTGCCGATGTAATCTTTACACTAGTCTTGAAACTACCTGAGTCCGGATATTGCTCCTCTTGTTATTTAAAATTTGTCACCACTCTCACTACTACCTCACTCGACTCCTCTCAGTTTGTTCCCAGTTAACAATTGCATCCATCCAATCAATTGAAAAATTTCTCAGAATGACCTGAAATCTCTTGGTCCAGCTTTGGTCCCTCTTCTCACTTCTGTTTTAAATTTTGAATCCCTGCTCTTATCCTAACTTGAAACTCAAAATCAGCATGTCCAAACCTCGACTCATCCTCTTCTTGACAAGCCAGATCCTCTAGCCTTTCTTTCCCTTGTTAAAGTCATAACTCCTCCACTAACTAACCAGACAAAACCCCAAAGTATCAGCTCCAACTAATCCCTCCCTCCTCTTCCTCCTTTTCTCTGCCCACTTCATTTGCCAAGGCTTGTGGATGGTGATCTTACGTGGCCTCCTCATCTTTTGCTCATGCCTACTGCAGTCTCCTGATGAACTCGCGTCTCCGCTCTACATACTGCTATCCATATGAGATCGCTACTCATGTCACTTCCTACCTAAATTCCTCCATAGCATAAAGCATTTATAGAATAATCTTCAAACTCCTTTGCCTGACATTTGATGACTGATTTACTTTCCCAGATAAGCTGGGCCAGGTGCCCGTTGTATGAACCCCCATTGTCTGGGTACCTAGGCCAGACATCTTTTATTTCTGTGATATAGTGATTGGTGACAATTGAAAGCATTTTAGAATATGCAGAATAAAAATCTCTATATGTTATCCAAATACATAAATCACAATAACAGGATGAGAGGGGCTACTGGTTAGAAAACCAACAGTATAAACACCAAGGGAACTTGATGAGATGGGGCTCAAAGAAGGTAGGAGGCTATTCCTGAAATAACCTTTGAAGCAATGTTCAGGGGCATGGATGGATGTATACCAATAAAAGTGTAATATGGACACTTACGCTTCAAATATCTTTCACGAAATTCACCTTTCCAGTTATTTCTCCTACTGCCTCATAGTCTCCTGGGAAACCAAAGGATTCCTGCTATTCTCTGAATGCCCTCAGCCCTTGCATCAATTTACAAATGCAGAAGGTGGGGAAACACAGGCTCTGCTTGATCCAACTCCAAGTCAATCTAGACTTGAAGGTTATTAGGCAGCCTTCTCTCACTCGTGCTTATCCATCACAAGACAGCTCCAGAAATCATCTTCAGGCCCTCAGCTGGTATCAAAACTGCTTTGTGAAGAAAGTGACACCCCTAATAGCAGTGAGCACTGTCTAGCACAGCATAGATGCTCAATAAACAGTCACTAAATTGAACTAATTTCCTAAGAAATTTTCTAAGAAAACTGAGGATATACTAACAGAAAATAAAACACAAAGTTAGCCCAAAGTAAAATTTTGGAATAGAGGGAAATTTCTTCATTGGGACTTAAAAACATCACTTAAAACTAAGACAAATATACATGATGAAGAAACATGACAGAGGCATCCATTCACAGAGACAGGAGACAAAATCATTTCAGATTTTGAGTTGACGGCAAACTTGATTTCCATGACAGCACTCAAAATGTAACGTGTTACTGCCTCAGCATAACAAGAGAACATCACCTGTTCAAAATGAAATATGCACTGCCACAAAATAAGAAGAAAATTAGAGCCAGCAGTGGCAGAAACAGAGGACACAGGAAGGAGGAGCTGATAATTCTGCCTGACTCTGCCTCTCCAATCCACAAGGAATACGGCATTCAGCCAATAGAGAAACACTAACACACATGTTCAATACCCAGAGGAGAATAGTCTGAATGATAAATCATGACATATGAAGAGATGAAAGAACTTAGGATTTTAGCCTCAAAAAGAGAAATATGTCACCTGTACTTAAATGCTCAAATGATTCTCATTTGAAAGAGAGAGTGTTGAATACCTTCAACAAGGCATAAACTCTTCTAACATGTAGAAGTAGCAAGATTGTTGTTTGGGACTTAAAATATGGAAAAACCTTTGTAATGAGCTCTTCAACAATGTAATCATACAAAAACAACTGCTAATCTTGGGAGTTTTCTTCCAGGCATGATGCTACACTGTACATGCATTGTCTTTCTTAATCCCCTCTATCACTCTGTGAGGTCAGTATTATTACTAATTTCATTTTACAGTCAAAGAAACTGAAGCATAAGCAAGGCTAAGCTTGCTGAGTGAGCAAAGGTAGAGCAGATAGACCCATTGGACTGATTGATAGCAAAGGCCCTTAACATTACACTATAGTTACCTTGCTGTGGTCATTCTAAAGGAACTAGGTAATTGCTTTTAGAAGACCATAAAAAGGAAATCATGCTTTAATTTGGAATGACAAAGATGATCCTTGAAATTTCTTTCCATCACATTTTTAGGATTCTCTGATCTTGTGTTCTTTGCAGAAGATAAACCTGTGCCTTCAGTCAAGATTCTCCCAGGATTCCAGCATCCATCTGTTCTGGTCCTCAGTGTCTGGGAATTAAACCTACCAAGAATGAGTATTTGAAAGTTGGAGAAAGCAGGGGAAGGATATAAAACACATGTTGATGGTAAAATCCTTCTACATTTTGCTTAGGACAATCGTTGTTCCCTCTTTCATCACAGGGTTGAAAAGGTAGCTTCAACTTTAACCTCTGCCAATACACACACACACACACATGCACGCACATTATCCTCTTACCCCATCCTGCCATGGTGTGCGGTATATGGTTCATGATACACAATGAAACTGATGGCATCCTGGGTATGTTATCAAACTTGCTACAATAATTTTACAGGACTTTTAGGATCTCAGAGCATCAGTTAATTCTAAAATCCTCAGAGGCTGCAAAAATAAAGCAGCCAACAGAATAGTATCAGAAAGAAAACACCACCTACATTTTCAACAGTGACTTCAAACAGGAAAAGTGTTCTAATTGCTTCTCATTTCAATTTTCTACATTAGTAATTTATTTTTATATCACCAAATGTTACATCAAGCAATTTGCTAAACTGTGCATTGACTACAGTGATTCTCAGGAAGAAGAGAGTAGTTTTGGTGCATTCAGTGAAGAATTCACTTTGAGACTGACAGCGATATAAGGAGGGGAAGTGTTCCATGCCCAGGAAAAATCTGAGCACAGACACAGAGAGGGTCACACCGTTTCCGGTGGATGGAAAGAGGAAAACACCAGAGCGTGGAAAGCAGAGGAGTAAGGAGCCTAAGGTAGTAATAGTAAATAAGCTTAAGCAGGAAGTGCAGCTGTGTGTGCATGTGTGTGTGTGTGTGAGTGTGTCCCAATGGGGAGGTGGAGACCGTGCTCAGGGAAGATCGTTTATAGAGAAATGAGAAGTGACATTATTGAATTTACCTTTTTTTAAGGCATAGTGGGGAGCTTACTGAAGAGAGAACCAGGATCTTGAATTGACCCAATGTTGCAAAGACAGTTGATTTTCAAATATACTAGAACATTCAGAAACTAATATACACAGTTTGTAGGGAGGCAGTTGGCTGGGTTTGGGGAGGTGTTTTAGTGTCAAAAATATCCCTGCAAGGAAATATATTCTACAATATTTTTTCCACTTCAATATTCTCACAGTATATTACATATATCCAAATATATACCTTTAATTGCCCTAAGAGGTATTCAACATTCCACTGGTTTCAACTGTTCAGTTTCTGTTTGGTCATCTTCATTAACTCAAAATGTTCTGAAAAATATAATGAAGTTAATTTTCTTTAACTCATATTGATATCTTTTCCTCTTGCCTTATTTTATGATGGAATCACAAAACCCATAACTGTGTAATCCCAAATTAGTTTACCAAGAAAACATCTGAGGAGTCAAAAATACATATGATTTCCCTAAGCACTAGATTTTGCTCCTGAATTATAAATTAGTTAAGATGTATTTTTAATATTGGGTTTAGTGTGACTGTCTCTCATTGATTATGTAAGGCTCTTAATCTGTTTTTATTACCTTTGCTAAAATATATGGTATAAATTGTGACAATGAAGTATGACATAACAGCATAGAGGTATAACAAATTATTTGCATTTAAATGACTGGTGGTTTAATCCAGCTAATTATGTTTCTCTAATCTTTACCTAGCATTCAAAACATCTGTGTCAAGTTATGTACAATTCGGTATAAGACAACAGGACATCTTCCCCAGCGTTTTACTCCAGAGTTGAAGATGCTAAGAAAAAAAATAAAAGAAAAACAAAAGACAGTTTCTAAGTAGCAAGTGGCGGGCCTATGATCATGAAGCAATTGTCTTTCTGTCAATCTATACTGGCAGTCACCATTTGACCCAAGTCATCAGGAACACAGAAGTGGGAGACAGAGCCAAGGTCCTGGAATCTGCACCAGTTCATGAGACTCCATGTCTCTTGGCAGACAGCCTGCTTTGACTTTATAGTGGGAGAAACTAAATATCAATGAGGAAGCACCTGCCTTAGCCAGTAGCTTTGACCTACACATTACCTTAATCTGCATAGCAACTTTCTTTCAAATCACTGTGAACTATTCACATACGCTGCCTCATCTATTTCTGTAACATCCATTGAGCTGGATGAAGACTAATGTTATCACCATTTTCCAAAAGGAAAATGTGCAGTGCAAAGGGACGATACGGTAAGTCTGAGAAAAACTAGAATTCAGGTTATAACACAAACAGCTCTTCACTCTAGATTTTATTTTCTCCACGTGTTTACCAGCCAGGTGTACTTTGTGGTAATGCAGATGATTCAGCACACATATCTATTTCAACACATTGTTGGGGGACAGACGTGTTATGAGGTATAATGGGTAATCCAGTAACTTATGTTAAGTATAATGCTTGTGATGTTTTCCTAATGTTACAAATTAAAATAGTAAGACAAATATTTACACATTTTTCACTATGAAAATTATTTTTGCATCTCTATTAAGTTATAAATCAATAAACATCAACACATGAAAGGAATCTATTGTCAGAAATAAAACCTGGTTTAGGGACAATTTCAGTAACGTCAAGATATTACAGAAGTGCACTTACAGTGATCAATATGCATTTTTCTTGCTCAAGAGGCTTTTATGCTGATGCACTCATTTTCAACGAGGGGAAATATGTTCCACTATGAAAACAAAGGGAAATTGGTTGATTTATGTGACTGCAGTAATGGTTCAAATCTTCAACTTGTGATGTTTCAGGACAGTACAATTATCCTTCACCTTTCAAAGTCTTTCAAATCTAAATCATAAAACCATTATCAAACCACAAGCAACCATGTGAATATCTGATTTGGGACACTATGGTTGATAATTATCACTCTGGCAGTGTATTTGTTGCATTTAAAGAGTAATTGGGTGTTGAATTTCATGTTATCTTCCCACGCAAACTAAAAATATCTGTATAAAAATGCATAGAAAAGCCATGCCACGCTAAAAGTACTGATGTGTATATGAAAGGAGAAAATGGTAATCTTATTACTATGGTATAGTGTTTGGAACATTGAAAAATATAATAGCTTAAATTTGCAATTGAAATTAACCAAAATACTACTCTTCCCAATCAATCAATGATTAATCAAAAATGACACGTCACATATTCTTAATGATGATAAAAGAGAAATATGAATTTCTTTCTTTCATCCATTTTTTGAAATTCACAATCAAGTGCATTCCTATTTCTCTAGAGTGCTCTAGTATAATACTTGAATGTATAGTTAATATTTCATACGATCCATCCAATGTCCTTTTCAGACCTTCAGAATAATGTTTTCAAATGCCCTCCAAAGAGATCATCCTGTCTCCAGGAATGAACAAATATGTCTCAAGTTACTGCGCTGTGGTTTTACATCAGGAAGGGAATATCTGCCAACAGTTCATGCAATTTGCACTTGAGAAAGAGTAAGGTTTTTTTATTCTTTGTCTATTCAGCCATCCTATATCTTTGAAAAGCATAAAGTTCTTTGTGCCATTTCCTCAAATACTCATCCTTAAAATTCTAACGTCAGGGGATTCAGATATAGTTCCTAGGGTAACGCCGTATGTCTTCTATTTAGATCTGAGATTTTTCATCTTTTGCTGATACAAGCAATCAAGATAAAAATAGGTCATTTAGGTAGAGAATCCTAGATGTATGCAAGACAGAGATGTGAAATCATGAAAGATGAGACAAAGCACAATTAAATTTGAGAAATAAAAGTCCTGGATAATCTTTTACCTTGATACTATTTGTCTGTTATACACGGCAGGTACTTATACAAGAGCTTTGACAAAAAAGAAAGTTCAGACTTATCTAATTATAGTACCAAATACAGGTTAATCACTGACGATGATATATACATTTAATCAAGAATTAAATGACCTATTTCTGTGAATGCTGAGGGCATGTAATTTTTCCTGAGTGCTCCACATGACGTCTCCACAGGGTCATAATCTTTCCCGTGTGTTGCTACTTCAGAGATATAAACATAAGTAAAATGTGATATAATAAAGTTCATGATGGAAACAATTAGAAGGTGGAGCTATGTCCTCAATTTTCTCATGCAAAAGATAGGTTTTCTTTTAGTGTGGAACTGCATACAAATACAGTGAGTGTTTTGATGTCCATTACAGTCTTGAAATTTTCAAATTATTATCAGTTTCTAACAATAGCGTACTCCCACTTGGTTTGGCATAAAAATATTTGTATTAACAGCCTAAGGCAAAGAAAAAGTGACACTTAGTAAGACTGTACTGACAAAGCTTACTTGGAAGGGCTGTCTTCAGTGACTATTACATATGTTTTCACTTCTGACATTCCCATCATCTCGGTTTACTTTCACCTGCCTTCCCAGTGGAAACAGCACCCAATTAAAAAATATGCTGGATATTGTCAGTGTGGCAGTTTTTATTATAACTTGGGTTATCTGCTAGTAATTTCTCGATAGAGTAACCAGAATTAGACATTATTACCTCTATTTGCTCAGTCCTCTTAACATTTTTCAATTTTGATTTGACCTATAAAATTATATCTTTCTCCTCACATCTCGCCTGTAAGATGGGTGAACCAAGTTTCATGATGGTTACTTTATAAATGAAAAAAAAAGAGTGAGAAAGTTAACTGATATTTTCAAAGTTGTACAAGAAGGTAGTATCAGAAGCAAAGAGGAGCTGGGTGCCCAGTTCCTGGGAGGGTGCTCTTTTGAAGAGGGTGCCTGTCCAACCTTGCAGAAGAAACAAGTGGATTCAGATTCATGAGCTTCTCTTTGCTCAATTAGTCATACTGTTAGGAGAAAATATAAGACTGCATCATATCGTTTGCCAAGGAACAAGAGACAAATCATTCCCTGAGTCTGTGATTTCCAAATTAGGCTATGACATGTCTATAAAAAGCATTTACCAGACCATCCATCCTTAGAGAGCCACAACTGTCGTATTCACTTTGCATTCCCGGTGCCTAGCGAGATACCTAGTCATAAGAGGAACATAATGGATTCCTGCTGTTGAACGAATGGTTCATGTGCTCTGTCTTTAGGAAAAAAATATTATTTTAGCATTTCAATAGAGGCAAAATAATAGTAGGAGTCAGAAGGCTCTAATTCCATTTCTGCCACTTTTCAAGTATTTCTATTGAATAAATTTCTTATCTGTACTATAAAGATAATGATACCAACCTTTCTACCTCACAGTATCTCTGTAAGGATTAAATAAAATAACATGAGTGAAATGCCTTCTAAAATACAACAAAGAGATATACAAATATAAATTAATATTATTTCTGTCTGTATTTAAAACACCATATCTATTTTATTGCTGATAACGTATTTCCAGAAGCATATTTTAAAGACTCTAATAAAAATATTTAATAAATGTTAACATATTTAATTGTCATTACTTCTAAGCTTTATAAAATTTATATTTACTTATACATTATATAATTATTTGTTATAAAAACTACATATCTTATGTAATTTAGGTTATATTAATTTTAGAACTGACTTTTGAAAATTGAGATTTATCGGAATTAATTTTAAGAACTAGAATCTTTCTCTCATAGAATATAAATTTTAGTGAGGAGAACTGATATACAACATTAGAAGAACTGCAAACTAGAAGTTGGTAAGTCAGATATATTTAAATGTCTTCTCATTTAGCAAGTGAAATCAATTAGAATATTATGTAAAATATTGTTCAAAGTCTATTTTTTCTTGACTAAATGACTCTCATCATCCAACCCATCAAAAGTATATGTAAGCAAGAGTGTGGATGACTGTCTTACAGTAATATCTAGGGATAGTAACCCCCGACAGTGTAGAGTTGACCATTAACATTAGACAGAGACCCCCACTTCATTCTAAGGAGAATTTGACAGCTCTTGGTGGGACCAACCTTGGTCCCTAACCCCCTACCATTTTGATCGGGAGGAACATCTAGTATAACATGAATATATATTAGCATCTACAAAGTCCTCACTATTTAATAACAGCAGAAATCCCAAAGTTCCAAATTCCTCAGAGTTACTTCATTTCTATGAGCTGAACAGGGAAATCAGGGTCTTGTTACAGGCATGGATAGACTGTTCTCATATTACAGCTTCTATTTAGGGTGTCAGAGCTGCCTTGTGGGTGGAGCCAGTCCAATCACAAAGTATCACATCAAAGGGGGTCTGGTATTGGTGCAATAGGCAAGAATGAGGCTGGGAATCCGGGGAGGTTTTATCTTAAATCCAAGGGACTAAACAGAAGGAAATCTGGAGCTAAAGTAAAACCTAGAATTATTCCCTAAGGCAAATTTATGCTTGAGAAAGAAGCCTTTCTGGGTACCTGTAGTAGAGGTGATGAGCCACAAGGAACTGTTCAAGGTGCTGAACTAACTTGACAATCTGATCTTGCCACAAAGGTCCTACAGACTCCCTTGAAATTGTCGAGAATGTGGTCATATCCCCAGGTCCTTAATAAAAAAATGCAAATTCAGCAGCTCCTGCACTTTTGAGCCCTGCCCTTATACACAGGCTGCAATTTTCACTTATCTCTAAGCAACCTTGTGTGTATCAAGAATCTCTAAATGAAGTGTAAAAAGCTCAGAGCAAAATAACATGGGATCTACCCAGGCATGCCTGCTCCTTGCTGGAGATGGACCCCAAACCTGAGCAAATAGAATAATTCCAGTCCTGATTGTTGGGCTGGGATAGCAGGCTGAGGGTAGCATGTATATATTCAGAATGGATCTCTTTAAGAATTAGAGGCTAATATGGACAGATTCTGGATCTAATCAGAACCTGTGGGTTTACATCTGGATAAGAAGACAGCAAATTTGGGAAAGGAAAACAAATACCCTGTCCTTTCCCTCATCCTTATTCTGGTAGTTTTAATGTGCTATATAATTAAATGAAAACAAAACAATATATCTGAACATGCCATGCTGAAAACCATGCAATTTCACTATCATAAGATGATGGAAGTGAATAAAAAAAGAGTAACCTTCCCTAATTACAATCATGAAATTAAGCAGCCTGACTATGGGGGGCACCTCCTACTGAGGACCATAGTCTGAGCATTGTTATTTCCATCTGTCCTAAACAATGGAACTGGTAGTAAGAGGCCCACAGGCCATGCAAAGCAAATGCCCATAGTCCAAATCAATGTGGGAGACCCATGAAAAAAACCCCTCCTTCAGACCAAGAGTTTGAGATTAAAAGAGAGTTTATTATTAACTCATGTGATCTCAAAGAAGAAAATGTATTAAAACATAATTCCTTAGATTTAGTGAAAGTAAAGTGGACTTCATTGAGGTCACTGAGCCAGACGTTTATTTCTATTTCTAATACCAACTCCACGATGCAGTTTCTTATTGCCTCCCATCTAGAATGTTTTAACTGTCTTTTAACCAGTCCCTTTGCTTCCAGTATTTCTCTAACTCATCAGATGAACCATTATCTGATTATACTCATAAAGCAAGTTCCCACCGTGTAATTCTCCAACTCAGAAAACTTCAATGGCTCCCAATTTCCATCAAAATTTAATATGAATTCCTTACATCTAAAATATTTTCAGGCATTTTCTACCATTATTACCCTATTTACGCCCTAAACTCTAACAACATTTAGACTACTCATTCCTAAATGTGATTCGCTCAGCCTCCTTTTGCTATTTTGTTCTCATGGTTCCCTTATTCTAAAATGTCCACTGGCCTTCTTCAAACCACTCAGATCCTACCAGTTCTTCAAGCACCATCTCGGGTGCATCCTTCTTTATGATATTTTCCCACATTCCTTACTAGATCTTATCTTTCTCTCATTTAAACTCATAGCCCAGTGGTCTCATATTGCACCATTCACTTTCTGCTTAGATTAGAATCATTTGTAAGGTTGTCTTATTCCTCAAGGATATAAGAATTTTCTTTAAAACAAAGAGTATTCTTTCCTTATTTCTAAATCACTTACATTATAGTACACAGTACATTCTGACACATAGGCAAATCTCTGTTAAATCATTAAATTTACTTGAAGAATTAGCATTTCAACTTAACTATCTGCTGCATGTAGTAACTTCTAAAATTGGACTCAAAATCTTGACAACTGAGTATCTGGGCTTTCTGGCTTGTAAAGTTTCAGATAAATTATATGCTGGCCAATATAGAGTCCTGTGAGTACACAATTTTTGTGTTTGTCCTTTAAAATAGTTTATGAAAATTATGACATTTTAAAGAAATATCATGGAACATTCCAATTGTTCTTGGTTTTGAAGGATATATCTGAGTCAATGTTCAGAATTCAATATGGTTTGCTGACCTTCAAAATACAACTTATTGAGAGGTAATGGGTTCCAGATTTATTGCAAAACAAAAATAATGTTTCTCTGAGTCCTAAAATCATAAAAAATATTAACATGCTTCTCTTTCATACTTGCCATTTGGGGACAACTTATAACTATTGGTGAATTGTTTCTTAAAGGGATCATGGTACTGCATTTGTCAGATTATACATCATATATAAGAATAACTCAGAGGAGTCTTGATCCAGTATATGTAGAAGAGAGAAAGAACAAATCTCACTTTCAGAGATTTCTCAATATGTCAAGAGAGAATCAAAACTTAAAATAATAAAAATGAGAGTGTAGCCAAATCCCACAGCTTAAAAGGAATCAGACTACCTTGATCCAATTTAAGCCGTGGTCCTTTAGTTAAGCACCAGAACATACTGTTCTTTGAGTCAGTCTACAAAATATATTATTGCTAATCACTCCCTAGAAGAAAGTTTCATATTTCAATGTCTCAGGAATTATATCTATGCAGATAGTGTTTCATGGAGGATTATAAAATTCTCCTTTGGCTCCCAAATTACATATATGATTCTACTGTTTTAGCTCCACTCAAGTTACAGGAGATCTCATACCTGAACAACAGCACTGCATGTTCTTTTTCTGTATTAAGCTATTTGCCTTTATGGCTTCTTGAACCCTAGGAGACTCCAATGGGGAGAAACTGCATTAGACAAAGGGACATCTTTGGATGAGTCCATCATTGGAAGAACTCACTGGAAGAACATTAAAATATAGTGACACTTTTTTGGTACTATTCAAAAATGAGGATGACCTCTAATCTAGGAGGAGCTACCAAGAGATGTAATTCCAGAAAAGTTAGGATCGCTGGTGATTCATACAGATCTATCATTGAGTGAGCGTAATGGAGCTTATTGTATCACACGCCCTACACACACTGAACCCAGGTTTGCTTGGTTTTATGAGAACCATTACATAATAATATAATTACAGTTACACTGAAGAAGAGTGAGAGCCAACGAGAATAACTGAACTTAAAGGCAAGGCAAACAAAGATAATGTAAATTATATAACAATAATTAAGTAGAACTGCTGATTTTGAAATACATTGAAGAAGACTGCATTATTTTGTATTTCTTCACCTTCCTAACCCTAAGAAAAAATGCAATTCAGTCACACTAATTTGCATCTAATAATTATTCATTTGGATTGCTAGGTGTAAGGGAAAAATTTGCTCCCTATATATATATATATATACACACACACATATGTGTATTAGGAAGATGAGAGTGATGTCATACTTTGCACATACCTACTTTTTATAAATAGTTTTTATTTTATTATTTTTTAAAATTTCTTAACTATCGAGGGCAACATTTACAAAAAGTGGAGAGAATATTTTTGCCTGCTTTATTAAAAAATGTAAGTGAATGAAGGAATATCTTCACTTACACTCACGACATTGCCACACATCATAATTGCAATGATTTTTATGGAATTGGATTTGATCCTAAAACCTGAATGCAGAATGAACCAACACTGACGTCATCTGTTTGACGTCAGTGGAATTTTTCACTCAACAACACTGGCCCACGCTAAATCAGTATCTAAAAGTAATCCTTAATTGATTATTTATAATTATTCAAACCTATTTAAAAGTACTCACTAAAGCATGCTAAAATAAAAGGAAATCAATATATATTAAATGTGAAAAAACTTTCAAAAGAAAATAAACGCCATCCTCCAAAATAGCACAAAAACCTATAACCAAATCATGACATTGGGGTATAAAAGAAATTGTAAAATTAAGCAAAGTTCTTAGTTGGAATTCATTTTCATAGTAATTTACTAGATATAGATTTCAGCTATATTGTTCTCTCTATATTATGGTAGTGTATCTTTTGTCTTATCTACCTATTGAGTAATTTAATCTGAAAACCTATATAATATAAACATAATAATAGTGACCATTTATTGTGCTCTCTTACGTCTTGGGCATTTTGCCTAAAAGTG